TCTGAAACAATAAGTGGTAACTGAAACAATAATAATAACTCAAATTTATTAAGTTATCAAACTGATATTGGAAAACAGTAAAACATTGTCTACTTTTGATGTCTCTAACGCAATTTAAAGCAATTCTTAAAAGAAATTTAAAAAGAAAATATAAAGGGGTTTAAATTCACATGTAATAAATTTAGTTATGTAGCACAGCACAAAATGTCATATACAGGTAAAATATACATGTAAAATGTATTTCTATTAAATTTTCTGTTCTGCATGTAGAAGTAAAAAAATATTTGCACTGTTCTGTTATCAGGACGGGATCCAGAAATGTATGTATGAATGGATGACTGTTCATGTATGCATGTATATAGGTAAGCACGAATTTATGTGTGTGTATATATACACATACATGCACATACATTCATGCATTTCTGAATCTGGTCCCCGACAACAGAATACTACTGATTCAGAAGTCAAACAACAAAAATCTGCGTTATGTTTTCAAAATTTTCACAGGACTAGTTTCGATGGTTTTACCGAACCACCGTCCTCAGCTGCAAAACCGCAAATGAACGAGATAGGATATAATGGTTAGATAAGATAAGAAAGCCTGAACAAGAATATGCAAGTGGTGCCATCTGTTGAGGAAACCAGAACTAAAACATAATTTCTCTAAAAGCCGAAGGCAAATTTGGATTGGAATTAGGATCGTTAACCAGAACAGAAAGATTTTTATGAATGTGAAATGCCTCTAGAAAATCCAGTTCTCCAATGGAAGATGTTTTTTGAATAATTTTGGCAGCAGAAAAATTGAAAGTGTGATTTTCAGACCAACAATGTTGAGCAACAGAAGACTTCTGTGTTTCCTTTTTTCTAACATATGCCTCATGTTCTTTGACGCGAAATTTTAAGGCTCTCTTAGTTTGGCCAATGTAAATTAAACCACACTGGCAAGAAATCCTATAAATACCCCAGGAATTCATATCCGGAATGGGGTCCTTGAGTATAGAAGTTGGCATTTTATTGATGGGAGAATAAACAACCGAAAGTTAAATTTCTGCAAAATATGTGCAACTTTATAGCTAATTGATGGAAAGAAGGGAACGACAACAGAATTTTTATAATCTCCTAAAATAAGAGTGTGGCTTTTAGTGTGTTGAGATGAGAATTTTTTAACTGCTTGATTAATAATGTTGGGTGAAAAGCCCCTGTCAATAGCTATTGCTTTTAAATAATTTAGTTCTTCATCAAGGGCTAGTTTGGAGGAGCAAACTTGAAGAGCACGGAAAAAATAGGAATAAAAATGAAGCTAACTTTTGTTTAGTCGGATGACATGATTTAAAGTGTGGTGGAAGGCAAACCGATGAAGGTTTACGGTAAACTGTAGTACTGAAGTTGGATGTGTTACGTGTGACCAGAATGTCGAGAAACGGAAGAGAATTGCAAGTCTCGAGGTCAAAAGTGAACTGAATAGCAGGATCAATAGAATTCATTGTTGAAAGAATTATTATTCTTTATTTAAATCATCTTTATTACCTTCAAACATATTGTGCTTTGCTTGTCTGATTTCATGCATTTTGGTTGCAAACGTTTTGTTTTCTATTCGTTTCAGTGTGGGAGTTTTCTGCTGTTTTGTGCGTGCTTTATTATTGGTTAGTTAATTTAGTTTGATTTTCTGCATTGTTTATCATGCCTTCATCCATTAATCATTTCACTAAATTACGCCTGAAATGGCAAAAATTCCTGAATCATCTTAATTTTTTATTTAAGTGTAAATGCAAAAAATTGGTCCCCAATTTCATTCAAATCAAATCTAATCAAAAACCTTCCAGTCGCGTTTTAGATATAAATCTTAAAATATTGTAATTGTAGGCAAAACTGCCTGTCCCTTTCAGTTCCATATTATTCAACTTCTTTGTTTTGTAACCTTATTCTTTTTTTAAATAAAAAGTTTAATTATTTTAAATATGAACTATTAGTGTGTTATAAAAATTAATTACAGAATTCCTTTTTTCCTTTAACAAATCAGTAGAAAAATAATTTGTTTTCCACTTCATGTCAAGTCCATTACCTTGAGATTATTTTACCCAAAATTAGTTTTTAAATCTGTCTAAAAGAAGCAGCACATATTCAGTGATATAGATAAACTACTCAAGCTAAGTTTGACTACTTTGGATATGTATTACTCCCCTTTAGGCAGATTTACAAACTAATTGGGGTTAAAATAATCCTGAGAGAAATTATTTTTATTAATTTGCTAAATTTTTATCTAAAAATTTCCTTTTTTTTTTTTTTTTTTTTTTTTTTTTAATGTTTTAAATTGTAGAAATATATTTATAGTCATTTTATACAATGCATTGCCCAGATTAAATTTTAAGTATTAAATTATCTTGAATTTTCTTCTGGGACAGCATATGTGACCTAAATTTGAAAAATGGGCCAAAAGCATTGTCAAGATTTGTGTGAACTACATAGCGAGTTATTGCTTTTCTTTTGATCAAACAATTTTGGGCAAAATTTCATGGAATTTTTAATGAGTATTGCTTATTTAGAATGGTAATGAGTATTGATTATTTAGCAAATATATTTATTAAGTGTAACAAAATTTATTATCACAAGAAAAAGACATTTCCATCTTTAAATGGAAATTCATATTCTGGATTTTTTACTAGAAGAAAATAAATTTGACTGTATTTAAATTTGACCTATCTTAAATGAATTTATAGGTGAAAAAGGTTTGAGAAACAGTAAGGTTCACTATGAAATATTACGTTTGCTTCTCACAGTGCTAGAAGGAAAATTCTTGGATTCCAAGCTCTTTCACAACAACATTTAAATTGGCATAAGTGAGGCCACCTGATTTGAAAACTGTTTCCAGCATAAAATTAAAATTTAAAAAACTACTATTAAAAAATTTATAGTACTTTGTCAGAAGACTATATGAGCAATCAAAACTAGCTAGTCCTATTTTACTTCCTTTTGCAACAATGTTTTGGTGTGAGGCAGGTTTTTCACATTACACTAAGATAAAATCTAAATATAGAAATTGACTTGATGTTGCATTGGATATAAGAATTCAGATTTTTAACATTGTGGCTGACATTTGAAAAATTATAATTCAAACACTCAGACACTAAACTGCATATATTGTAACATACATGCACGCAACTTTTAAACATACATTTTAATCTTCGCTTCAACCATTGGTTTCCCACAGATAACCTTGTAAGGTTTTGTGTCGGAAATTACAGTAGAAACAGACACATTTAAGTGTTTTAAAACTAAAAATATTTCCTTTTATTTCTCTCTCTCTCTCTCTCTCTCTATATATATATATATATATACTTAATTTGATTAGGTTTAAGTGTCATTTTTGTGAAATTAAAAATTTTAAGAAAGTGATTTTATAGGTATTTATAGGTACAAATTTTAAATGTATGATATTGAAAATTGGAATAATTTTTTATTTTATTTATATAATATACCCATGTTATCATTTATTATAACTAAAAACCCAAATTTATTCTCAAAAAGTGTTTGGCAGTGAGAAAAGTTTGGAAATCTCTGGGCTAGACAATCACTTTGACTCCTTAACACGTTGAGCGCCACGTCAGCCATCTGTGGCTGACACTAGATTTTCCATTTAGGCCGCGTCAGCCATTTGTGGCTGACACTAGATTTTCCATTTAGGCCGCATCAGTCATCTGTGGCTGACACTAGATTTTCCATTTAGGCCGCATCAGCCATCTGTGGCTGACACTAGAATTTCCGTTTAGGCCGCGTGAGCCATCTGTGGCTGACACTAGAATTTTCGTTTAGCCCGCTTCAGCTATCCTTGGCTGACACTAGATTTTCCGTTTATACCACATCGGCCATCTGCGGCTGCACTAAACTTTCCATTCAGGCTACGTCAGCCATTTGTGGCTGACCTTTTCGTTTAGGCCCCGTCGACCGCCGCTGGCTGACAGCGTGTATCATAATATATAACTATAAAATTTACACTGTTTTATGAAATTACACAAAATTTATTTAAAATTTACTTAATTTTGATTCATGATTTGATTTTGATTGATTGGATTTCATTGAAACACGGTAAACATAAAAACGGTTCTCCATTACAGTTATTACAAAATGTGACAACACTCTTTTAGTCTTTTTTCTAGCCATTACTCTACCAGCTTCTGTTGCATTTTTATCATAACATAATTTACGATATTTAAGAGCCATAAAGATCAAATGTTTTTCATCAATTAACAAAGCTGCCAATGACTTTGTAACTTTACATTGGGGTGCAGTAATAAAAAATACCAAAAATAGTTCTTGGCAAAATCATAAAAATAAGAAATTCAATTGTTGAATAATGAGCAGTGCGAGAATTTTTTGCTTTTCATTTATATGTTGAAATTCTCATAAATCTTAACAAAAGTTATTTTTCTGTTAACACCATTCACCAAATATGGTAGCAGGTTTATAAAGTATCATGAAAGTCATGTGAATTAATGAGATAAGTGTCAATCCAGGAAATGTTCTGTTCTAGTTTTTCAGTTGCTTAAGCTGACGAATGGGAAGCTACAAGCTAACTACAAATATAACGTTATTGATTCTTGTATTGAATGCCATGTGTAAAATAAACCACTGCACTGGTCGCCACCATTTAGATTCCTACCTCACGACATCAGTATCATTTGGTTTTGTTTGACTATAATAAACTAGATATTTCTTTCTTGTGAACCTTTACATATAGTTAGGTTAGTCACCTTCTACTTAGATTTCTCAACAATGTTTATTTTTGATTCTAAGTAAACAAAAAAGCATCAAAAAGTTAAAAATATGTGTGCATTTATATACACATGTACCTTTAATAGCCATAATAATAACTAAATTGGCTCAACATATAATGTTTGTTGAAAATACTTGGAATAAATACTTTGGAACATTGTAACAATACATTCTTTCATTGTATATGAATGACTGATGTGCAAACTCTTAGTTTTATATCTGTATTTTAGGACTTTTGGGTAGCATATCAACAGCGTATGTGGTTCCTGAACCTGAAGACAAATCTAATTAAATTCCAGCAGGCAGCTCGCTCTTACCTTTCAAGAAAACAAATATCTGCTATATTAATACAGTCATATGTGAAGATGTGGCTTGCCAGAAAGAAGTACATGAGGGAAATATCAGCCATTAAAATTCAGGTACACATGAAATTTTGTTTGATAAATATATATTTAATTAATCCAGAAAAGTAGATAAAAATTTGTTTAAAAGTATTTAAATTATTAATTATATTATTTATCGCAAGTCAACCAGCTCACAATATGCAATTTAAATTAGGTACTGGCCACTAGACCCTGAAAGTCAGAATTAACCCGTTATGATTATATGCCTCACAAATGCAGTTTGCAGTTTTCCCTTGCTGTCTCAGAGTTTGGTTTGCCCTATTTTGTTTTTGTGAAACTCTAATACCTGTCTTGGTAACCAAAAGAGAGCTGAAGAATTTTATGCTCTCAAAGAAGAAAAATACTGTTATTCATCTTTTGTTTTATACAATGGCTGTAATAAATATCTGATTGTAGCGACAGTTTTCCATAAAAAAAACTTATTATGTTTTACTAAGCACATTCTTGTAGATCTCTTTTTTCCCCCACCTGGAAAACCTCAAACTTTTTTCTCATAAATTGCAGTCAGTCACCTAAAATAGTTATTATAAAAAATCAATTATATATAAGAATTTTAATGAGTGCAACTAGTCTAATTTCATGGATTTATCTATTAATTAATAATAATGCAGGGGAAGAATACATTTATTGCTTTTAAATTGCTAAGTTTGTTAATAAATAACAGGTAGATTAAATTTGAAAGAAAATTTAAGTTACGCTTTGCTGAATGGCAAAGATTGATGCATGAACGATAAATATATTTTGTTTCAGATAATGGCAGTATATTTCTTTTAAAAAGCTTAGGTTGTTGATTAAATTTGAAAGACAAATATTTTGTGCTTTGCTAAGTGGCAACCAATTTCTTTTAAATCGCTGTGTTTTCTGATCAGATTTGAAACACAAATATTTTGCAGTTTGCCGAGTTGCTTCACAGTGCTCTTAAATCACTGAGTTTTCTAATCAAAATTCATTTTACAAAAAATATAAAATAATAATACTTTAAAAAAAAACTGTTTAAATGGAGGACTGTGTGTGTTTGCAACTGAGTGGCTATAGGTGCCATTGCTTTACCACAGTGCAAGAAGCATATGTACACTGCTCAAAAAAAAAAAAAAAAGGGGGACAGTGCTATATCTTCCGTTCTACTGGGCCGATTGACAAAATTCAAACTGCATTTTTCATGTCTCGAAAGCGCAACTTAGGATATATATTAGATTTATATATAGCACTATTCTAACATAGGTATTTTGACTCAAAATCGGACTTTTTTTGAAATAACATATCAATATTTTTCCATATTTCGATTCTACGACTCAAATTATGCCAGAATACCAAGTTTTGTAAAAATCGTACGAGTAGTTTTTAAAATATTAGCTCTCAAAATTTAGCTCCTCAATGTTAATTGAATTTGGCAAATATTTATTAATATCTCTTTTTTTATTAAACTTTTATTATTTTTCCTTTCACATTTCGAAATTTAGGTTTATTCCAAATAAAATTTACCCATTTTTTGTGTTTTATTTTTTAAATTTCTATTTTTAAATAAGTTTTATAAATTTTTCGAAAAAATTTTGAATTATAACCTATAAAATTTTTACCATCATCTTAAAGTAGGTGTATTTTTAAGCATATCTGCAAAAAATTAGACTTTTTTTATTCAAAATTTTCTAAGATATACGCGAATTTACATATTTTCGTGTTTTGAAATTTGGCATCTTTTTTTTTGAGCGATAATAACGCCAAATGTGGTCTATGGATTTTTGTTAGAGTGAATTGCCACAGCTATTTTTAACCTTAAATTTCAAGTAAAATTTTACGGAGAATTAATTATATGAAATTTTTTATTAATCAGTTATTCGTATATTTACTTTTTAAATTTTACCTTCATAAATTTGTCAGTGTCATTTAAATGACTGCTCATTAATTAAATATTGATTTTTAACGATACCTCCTTTGTAATTTTTTAATGAAACTGTCGCGTGGACTTTTCTTTAAATAATGTTTTGTTATAGGCTTTGTGGAGAGGATATGGTGTACGACAAGCAGCCACTGACAAGAGAATATTGCTGTTAAGAGAAAGAATTAAAAGTGCAGATTCTGACCAACGTAATTCATTAAGGAATCGTACTACTAGAGCATTAGATATATTATTAGGAAGCTCTATAAAGAATATCTATCCACTCAGGATTTGGTAATAACAATTATTATTAACTATTCAAGATAATTGTTTAATTAATGTCTTTTGCATATTTTTATAAGCAGTATTTCGTGAAAAAATGTTTTAATGTGAAAAGTATTAGAAAAAGCAAAATGAATAACTGCATGAAGATACCTATACTAAAATTGCGTAATTAATTCACAAATTGTAAAATTATTTCCTTTCATCGTTTGCAATTCTTTTAGTAGAATTAAACTTTTGTTTCACTTTATTCGTTTTCTTAAAGTGTTATTAACACGTTCATGTACGAAACTTGTAGTTGAATAGCACATATACGAAACTTGAAGTTTCATAACACATGTCAGAGATGGTATCATCGTACGATGTACATATATAGAGATGCAGAGGACGGGAAAAGTATGCAGCGCCCTCCCTGGGAATTGAATAGCGAACTTACAAATTCCTAGTCGAATACAACAGGAAGGCATGCGGGAAAGGAAAGAGAAAATACCTTATATATGTTTTATTTCTTAATACAATATTTTCGACGTCGATATTTTAAAACTCTGAAGTTTTTGAATCGCTGTATTTTAGAAGTATGATGCTTTTATCCTTGCCTTCTTATCTAACATAATATTTTATATGGCGATGTTTTCTGTTTGTGTTGTTTTCTCTGCGACGTTTTAACAGCAGTGTTTTCAGCGGATACGATATAATATTGGAATGAAATTGTAAACTCAGAATAATAAACTTTGTAGGCAAAGTGCACCCCTGAGGATGGATAGTTGAGAAATTTTGAAACTTTTAAACATTGACGTTATAAATGGAGTGACGTGTTACCCATGCGACAGCTTAATGAGGTTTGGCTAAAAGCAGTCTCCCGGCGGCGTAGACAATAAAATCTAATTTAATTTATTTACGCCATTAAAGTTGTTGCAAACTTGTTTGCTTCCATTTTATTGCTGTGCCTTATCCCTCTATTCAATCTTCCGATGAAGTTAAGCGTGTTATGTAAGATTTAGTTAAGAACTGTTATTTAAGCTGTGAGAGAAGATGCTGTTATAAACTCTTCTTCGCTCAAAATAAAGCTTCTCTCTCCGCTCGGAACTTCATCCTGCTCTTTT